CGAGGGATTAGTACATACTAGTAGTACAGACGAGCGACAACGTGGGCCGAATCTGATTCCAGATAATTTGACTAGTATGTGGAGGAGGGATGACACTTCCTTTGGCCTCTTCCGTGGCCTCGGCGTTCCCGGTGCACCAGCGAATTTGTATGGAGTAGGGCCTCAGGAAGCCAAGCTAGATGCTCCGGGCAAGGCAGGGGGACATGTCCATTGGCGGAGCGACATGGATGTCATTGTCATTTTCACGGCCAAAATGGGAATCGCCGAGGCGCAGCTCGCGACGTCGTCGATGCACTCAAACGGTACACACCGGTCTTCGTCAGTCGGGGTCTTGACGTATGCGGCCGAGATGCCACAGTACTTCGTGGACTTCCTTGTCAAGGCAACGGGGCTGTCGCTGAGCGCGACGGCAAAGTACGAGTGGCGCCAGTTTGCACTGACAGGGTCTGTCCTCGACATTTTTTTGGCCGACAAGAAGACGCACTCGTTCCGTGCGTCCGAAGTCTCGATCCACTTCATGTCCGAGTGCTTTTATCGCCTCGACGCCAAGGGCAAGCGGCAGTTGGTCCTAAAAGTGCCATCGCGGTCCCGCTTGACCAAGTTTCAGCACGTGCTCCACCTGGCCGCGGCGACCACGACGTGGGTCCCGCCTGTCACCGACGTGCTGACGACTCTGGTCGGTGTGGCGACGGACATTGTCGAAGCGGACGCGTCGACGCCGTCCAAACTCGCCACGTCGACCGTCACGATCCGGGCGATTCAATCGCATGTGGCCGAAATGCATTCCATGTACCAGTTGCAAGCGTCGTGCTCGTCCATGGAGGAGCTCTACGACCACTTGCTGTCCATCGAAGCCGACTATTGCACGAACGTCAACTCAAACAACTTTGCACACACCGTGCACAAGCTGCACCCATTGCAATACGTTTGTTCCAAGGGCCGCCGGGATCTGTACCGCCAAGCGCTTCGCGACAAGTTGTCCGTGTGTCCTTACGTGTCGTGCGGCCATCCCATTCCCCTCAATATCATGTACAAGATCCACATCAAGTCGGAGGCGGTGCGTTGCGTGCGGTGCAACAACGTGCTATCTGTGGGAGCGTTCAAAATCGCTGCGTTCATCGCCGAGTCGCCGCAGTTTATCATCGACCACGAGCTCCGAAACAATCCGCAGTGTCTCGTCGTTCAGACGCCGGGAATGCCTGCGAACGGCAGCATCGAGTCGTTCATGAACGAGCTGCGGCGCCGCATGCGTGAGGCGTCTCCGAATGGTAGCCACGATGCCGTCGCGACGCTCCAGGCCCAGGTCGCGACCCAAGTCAAGAAGCACCTGACCAACGAAGTCGGGGCGTTCGAGATCGACCTCGTTCAGGCCATGATCCGGCAACTCGACTTTTGCAACAAAATGTGCCCAAACATGGAGTACTGGACCAACCCGGTCGTGCTCCACGCGTCCATCATTCGGTACCACAAGTTTATGCACCTCATGAAGATCAAAACGAACGAACATGCCATGCTCGTGCCGACGTCCGACATTGACTTGGTCTGGCACACGCACCAAAGCGACCCCGCCGCCTACGGCAACTTTTGCCGGTCTGCGATCGGTCGCCTGGTCAACCACGATGACACGATCGAGGGCGGCGACCTGCGCAAGGGATACGCCGACACGTTTGTGACGTGGTCCGAGCTATTTGACGAACCGTACTCGTCGTTCGCGCCGAGCTACAAGTCGTGGACGACCGAAAAAATCAACACGGCGATCAACCACCACTTTTTGAAGAAAAAGTGGCAAAAGCACGCGCGGGTCCCGTCCCGCGACTGCCGCTTCTTTGGTGTGGATGAATCGTTCGCCGTGGAAGCGCTGCCGTATGCGATGGCCGTGGTCGTCCCCGACGAAAAAGCCGTCGTGGCGTCCAAAACGCCAATTCCCGAAGCGCTATCTGTCTACATGGCGGTGATCGGAACACCCGTCATGGATGGCCGCGTGCGCTTGCAGTATTCTCGCCACAACTACCTGATGGAGGACGGCGGCCTCGGCTACGTCTATTACGGCGGATGCGGCGTCATGTTCTACGGCGGCTGCATGGGCATGTACGGACTTGGCATGCACGGCTACTATGGCGGGTGCGGTGCTGCTGGGTGTGCAGCTGGAGGCTGTGGCTCTGGTGGGTGTGGTGCCGGCTGTGGCGGTGGGTGCGGCGGCGGCTGCGGTGGTGGTTGTGGAGGTTAAACTCGCCAAATAATTTCCCGTGTTGGGAATGCATATTCAGGGCTGCCGTTTTCTTGGTTGAGTTGCGCGATCACAGGACTTTGATAAGCATGCCGCTGCTCGAACGATACTGCACAGGAACGAAGTCAACCGAGTTCATCTTCTAGTGCTGACGACTCCTTCACGATCTTACCATCGGACGACGATCTGGACCGGGTCAGCAATAAACGAGCCTCCAGCGGGAGAGGAAGACCAGCCCTAGAAACCATCACTATTGTCTTCACCATCAAACACGCGCCACTACATAACTACTACGTTTTTGTTTGGGGGCGAAGGCGATGCATTCCCCGAGCCCCTGTTGATCCCAGCACCGAACCCATACGAATCCATTCAAAGTACCAAGACCACCACCACAAGAGAAGAGGCCTGCATCATTCGGCGAGGGAGGCGCTCTCCCGAAGGCATACTGACTCGCAAAGTCATAACGATGAACGAGCACAGGTCCCTGCACGACAGACATGACATGCAGCATCCTACGAAAACGTACTCTGGGCTCGTGTTATGGGCAAGTGAAGCATTCCACTTGGCTCGTGTCAATGGGGCTTGCTTTGACGATGCCAAACAAATGTGCTGACCATGACAAGTGTGCATGATGTGGTTCTGCAGTCCGAGGTCGACGACCTCGTTCTGCAATGGGTACTTTGCGGCCAAGACCTTGGCGTGTGTAGTATCACTGGCACACGCATTTGCAAACCACCAACGTGTGTGTGAGAGCCAAAAGCTGCCCCATTCCCGCACGGATGTCTCCACCACATGCCACGACGACATGCAGGGAATGGCACTGGTATACTCGTATTGGTTAATGGCTTGTCGACAAGTCCCATCGAAGAGTATAGCCATGCGCTTGGCGAGATTCGCGTCCAGGTTGTGCCCAATGTTGTGCTGCTCTGCATGTCGATCGAGTGCATGTTCCTGTTCCCGACAAATGGGCTTGGCGAGGACATCCTGGGGCAGAATCGAATTTGTACAATTCCGCCAAGTCCACCGGATTGGCTAGAATCAGTCGAATTTTTGCCAGTCAATTTCAGTTAATTTTGTAGTCGGACCTACAATTGGTCAAAAACTATTGTCGAACCGTGGTATGAAAATACACTGGTGTAAAGATCATGTCGAGGCGGTTGGCATGTTGGGGGCTTTTTCCAGCATCATGTCCAACATCCGCGGCGGGGCGGTCTTTGATTTCCACCTGATGCACTCGGTGCCTGGCGTTTCTTTCAAAACGAACAACAGCATCGACATAACGTTGCATGCGTGGCGGCGAGCTTCGTCGTTGCGAACTTGGAGACTGTATGTGAGCCAGGTTTGGGGCAATCAAACTACTTCATGCCTGTGAGCGCATGCCACACCGCCGTGGCTGCTGCCCAAGCCCAACGACCAAGCGGGTCGGCCAGCCACGGTGTTTCGCCATCCAACTTGGAGCACACTCGAACGTCGCCCCTATGCCACATCGTGACAATGTGCTCGGCCAATCACATTCAAGTTGATGGGCACGAGCGCGGCGATGTTGAAGCCCATGAACAATGTTACCACCTATTGAATTGACTATGACAGGACAACGGCGAACGATCACTTTGCTTTAGGCACCATGACGGACAAGTTGGAGCAGCCAGACTATGTGCTGGCGAGCACACCGAAAGAAGACGGGTTGCTGAGTGACACCGCCGTGGCGACCCGTGCGCCGCAACTGGCCCCGTTCAAAGATTTGTTTCAGTTTGCTGACTCGACGGACATGGCGCTCATGGCAGTGGGCACGTTGTCGGCCATCGCGACCGGGTTCAGCCAGCCGCTTCAAATTGTGTTCTTTGGCGACCTCATCAACGCGTTTGGGTCGATCTCGAGCGATCGATTCAACGTCGCGATGTTCGACCGGCAGATCAACGACATCGTGTACAAGTTTCTCGGCGTTGCCGCCGCCGTCCTTGTGAGTGGGTTTGGACAAATTGCGTGCTGGTCAATCACGTCGTCTCGTCAAACCAAGCGGATGCGCGAAGCGTACGCGGCGTCCATTCTGCGCCAAGAGATTGGATGGTTTGACATGCACGAGCCGACGCAACTGGCTACCAACGTAGCCGACTCGACGCTGCTCGTCCAAGAAGGCATGGGACGTAAAGTCGGCGACGGCATCAACTTTGCTGCGATGGCCGCGGGCTCGATCGTCCTCGCATTCTACTACGGGTGGGAGCTGGCCCTGGTGCTCCTGGCATTCACTCCTCTCATGGGCGCCAGCGCATATTACATGTCCAGGACTATCACGGTGGCTGTCCACAGTGGTGTGACGTCGTATGCCGAGGCGGGCGGGATTGCCGAAGAGAGTTTGAGCAATATCAAGACCGTCCACATGTTCAACGCGATGGCGAGCATGGTGGAAAAGTACAAGGCCGCTCTTATGGTCACGCAAGCAGCGGGGGTGTCGAAAGGCATTGCCGTGGGGATCGGGACCGGCGTCATGTACCTCATCATGCTCTGCACGTACGCCCTGGGGATGTATTACGGCACGGTCAAGATAACCAACGACCAGCTCGGCGACGACGTGTGCACGGGCAGTCGTTGCTACGACGCAGGTCGCGTCATTACCGTGTTCTTTTGCGTCGTCATGGGGTCCATGGCCATCGGCCAAGCCGGCCCCAGCATTCAGGCCATCGCCACGGCGCGAACAGCAGCTTTTGATATCTTTGCGCTGCTTCGCCGGCCATCAACCGTCGATTCCACCTCAACTACGGGCGCTGTGCTGGACCACGTGCGTGGCGACATTGCGCTCGACAATGTCGAGTTCGCGTACCCGTCCCGCCCAGACGTACAAGTTTGTGCAGGATACACGTTGTCGATCCCGGCCGGTCAAACGATTGCCTTGGTCGGGGCGAGCGGGAGCGGCAAGTCGACGATTGTTGCGCTGCTCGAACGCTTTTACGACCCCACGAGTGGCCGCGTCTCGTTGGACGGCCACGATTTAAAGACGCTCAACGTCCCGTGGCTGCGGACACAGTTTGGACTGGTCGGCCAGGAACCGACGCTGTTTGCCGACACAATTGCTGCCAACATCCGCCATGGCAAGCCCACCGCAACGTTTGACGAAGTCGTCGATGCAGCCAAACAAGCCAACGCATACGACTTCATCATGACGTTTCCACTTGGGTTCGACACGCCCGTGGGTAATCAAGGCGCGCAGCTCAGCGGGGGCCAGAAGCAACGAATTGCCATCGCCCGTGCCATGATTAAGAACCCGGCGGTGCTGATCCTGGACGAAGCCACGAGTGCGTTGGACACGGAGAGCGAGCACATCGTGCAAGCGTCGCTCGACCAGTTGGTCGCGGCTCGCCAACGCACGACGATCGTGATTGCCCACCGGTTGTCAACCATTCGCCACGCTGATCGAATCGTCGTGCTGGAGGCAGGCCGCGTTGTCGAAGATGGTTCTCACGACGACCTGCTGCAGATTGATCACGGGCTGTACAAGGCACTCGTCCAGGCACAAGAGCACCGTGGCCCTTCCGTCGCCACAACCACGGTGCAGCCATCGCATCCACCCGTTGGAGCATCCATGGACCGCAATTTGATCGTGGACCAACCCTGTGATTCAAAGCAAGCCAACGTCCTAGACGGCCATGCATCCGTTCGCAGTCTTCCATCCGAAGCGTCGGACACGGCGGTGCCGATTTCAAGGGTCTGGCGGCTGAGTGCACCAGAGGGCTGGCACGTTGTACTTGGGTGCGTCGGGGCGGTGATGCACGGCAGTTTGTACCCCGTTTGGGGGGTTATTCTCACCAAGTGTACGATGGTCTTCTTCCGCGTGGACCGTGGCGTGGATGGCATGCGATCGGAAGCTCTCAAGTGGTCGTTGGGGTTTGTGTGCCTGGGATTCGCGATGTTGGTTGCAGTTATCGTCCAGAAGCATCAATTTTCAATCGTGTGCGAGCGCCTCACCACGCGCATCCGAGTGATGTGCTTTGGCGCGATGCTGCGCCAAGACATGGCCTGGTTCGACGACCCTCGCCATGCCCCCGGAGCCCTCACGACGTGCCTGGCCACCGATTCGATGGCCATTCAGACAATGACGGCGGAAACGTTGAATGCGATCTTGCTCAACGCGTCGACACTTGGGGTCGCGCTGGGGGTGTCGTTCTACTACAGCTGGCGGATGACGCTTGTCTTTCTTGCTGTAGTCCCCCTCATGGGCGTCGCCGCTACGCTTCAGATGCAAATGGAAACAGCTCAGACGGGCAAAGGCGACGCGAACGAAGGGGACGTCCAAGCGGGGGCGGTGCTCAGCGAGGCCATTCACGCGATTCGAACGGTCGCGGCATTCAACCTCGAAGACCGCACGCAACACGTGTACGCGACACAGCTGCAGCTCAGTGCGTCGCTGGACCGCAGGATGGGCTTTCGCGGCGGCGTGGCGTACTCGGTGGCGCAGTCGTCGGTGCTGTTTGCGATCGCAGCCGTGTTCTACTACGGCGGGTACCTCGTCCGCCACACGCTGTTGGACTTTGAAGGCATGTTTATGGTGCTCAACTCGATCTTGTTTTGCTCGCTCGGGGTCGGGATGGCGGCCCAAGCTCTCGGGGATGTGGGAAAAGCCAAGAAATCTATCGACCGCATCTTTTCCATTGTCGATCGGCATCCCTCCATCGACGCCGATGCGACGTCTGGTCATGTCTTGGAGCACGTGGACGGCGCCGTCGAATTTCAAAGCGTCGCGTTTCGATACCCCAGCCGGCCCGACAGTTCCATCTATTCGGACTACTCGTTGAAAATCGAAGCGGGGCAAACCGTGGCGTTGGTGGGGGGCAGCGGCAGCGGCAAGAGTACTGCGATCAACCTTCTCGAGCGATTCTACGACCCCTCTGCAGGATCGATCAAGTTGGACGGACATGACCTGACCTCGCTCAATGTGCACTCGTTGCGGAGCCACATCTCGCTGGTGAGCCAGGAGCCCGTCTTGTTTAGTGGGACCATTGGCAGCAACATCGCAACGGGTAAGCCGGGGGCGACGCAGGACGACATTGAAGATGCCGCGAAGAAAGCGAACGCGCACAACTTTATCATGCAGTTTCCAGACGGGTACAACACGGCTGTGGGTGATCGAGGGGTGCAAGTGTCGGGGGGTCAGAAGCAGCGCATTGCGTTGGCCCGCGCCATCATTCGCGACCCCGCGATTCTGTTGCTCGATGAAGCCACCAGCGCCCTCGACAACGAAAGCGAACGCATTGTCCAAGCGTCGCTCGACCGCCTCTTGCAAAGCAAGCGCCGGACCACCATTATCGTCGCCCACCGACTCTCTACGATTCGGCACGCCGACGTGATTGCTGTCGTGAACAACGGCGGGATCGCTGAACTTGGCACGCACGACCAGCTCGTGGCGATTCCCCAAGGCATTTACGCCAACCTGGTCGCACGCCAATTGCTTTCATGATACTGCTGCAGTGCCGAAACATCCAAAGAATTTAAACATTGCATTCCACTTCGTATTGTGTGGTGGTCGATCACGATGATGTCCTTCGTCCAGCCTTCTCTGTCATCCCAACGCATCACGACTTTGTACGCTTTTCAGGATGTAGCCTTTTCGGGGTGTAGCTGCCACACGCGGCCGAAGTGCCAACGGCTCCATGCATCAGGTCCATAGAGCACCCACGTCTACTCTGTAGCGAAACAGGATTGGTGTGTAAAACTACTCATCACAACGCCGCCGCTTCCATCGACGGCCGCGGCCCCCCAAGCCCTGCCTCGACGAAGCTCCCGTGGTTGTTCCAGCAACCTGAATCAAGTAGTGCCGCGAGGAGCGAAGTGCGGGATGCCTCGTGAAAGGCAAGGTGTCGGTGAGAGCCTGGGCTCGTTAGCATGCCCGTCGCTCGTCGATTGCTTTGACACGCGGAAGCGAAGCCACTTTGAACGAGGACGACACGGTAAATTGCACTTGAATGCGTCCCTGCGACTCGTCTGGACGACGCCGTACTGGTCAGTCACGCGCCGCCAAGTCGCCGTGCTGGCGCTCCCACGTGGGAGCCAGACAGTTGGTGGTGTGGGGCAGGTCCCTGTTTCTGTTCGACTGGCGAGTGCGTCGCCGTGTACAACACGACTCGATGCGCGATCCACGACCCCATATATCGGTGGCTCTTGGACGGAGCACCGGTGTTCTCGTTTCGGTGTTCAAGCTCTGCCGCGCGGTGCGAGCTTCTCGAAAAACTAGTCCTCTTCATGGCATGTCGGCCGGGGGATCTTCCTGAGCCTAACCCCGAACCAGATACGGCAATCGACGTGGGGCTTTCCACGTCAGTTCCCAGGAACCGCTCCACAACGAGGACGACGCCACAGTGTGTCGGACGGAGGAGAAAACGAACGATTTTGCTGCCGCTACTGGCCCCCGCAGTCGCCGCCTCTTAAATGAACCTGCGTGCCCCCAACCTTCATCCATGCATAGCGTACATGCATACCCCAAAGCCCAGTACATACCTGTGCAATCACTACTGCCAGGTTTGAATGTGACTTGTCTCTACAGAGTCAGCTAGCCAAAATCGAGATGAAGAGGGATGGGGCATGATATCTTTGGAAGCGCTACCGACATTTCCTACGCAACCCTTCACAACCATGTCCACAGATGTACACAAGCATGAAAGTGGGGATCCACCAGGACCCCCAGCTATGCACCCGTATCCAGCGGTCATCTCGGCACTCTAGCCCACTGCCATTCCCCCGAATCCAGTCGTCACATTTCAGGCAAGTCCCTGCCCCCTCGCAACCTCAGGGGGCTGGCCCCCAGCGTATCCATGTCCATGCAAAAGGCGAGTGAACAGTCACTTCGTACAAATCATGACGTTGCTAAGGATTCGTCCCAACTTGCGACATGTTCGTCTGTGATAGGAGGCAGTTGGAACCGCCTTAACCAGGTGAATTGGTCATCCAAATATACCCCGAAACGGATCGAGTAGATACCCCACGTGAGGATGCCAAAGGTCCATGCCGTCGTGTGTGGGCCACGGACATCGACGGTCGGGCAGAAGCATTACAAGATCGTGTTGAACAGGCTTTCCGTCCTGTGGGGGATCGTGTTTTCGATCAACCTGACCATCATGGTACGGTCGTTGCGCATGGTTCATGCGCCCCCACTGACATGCATGTTGCTCGCAGCCGATGAAAGCGTACTGGACCGAGTATTTTCCGTGGACGATGCCACCCCCGCCTGTGCTAGGCGGCGCCGACGCGGTCGACTCGTTCCGAGCAAATACGTCCGCCTTCCTCCAACATGTGTACAACGCGACGACGTTTCCAGATTCGGCTGGCGCGTTCCTCCGGGATCGGGCAAGCCCTACGTACGCAGTGCGGTACAAACTCACGATGCCGTCGTCGGTGCCCACGTCCAAGTGCCTTGCCGTGGTTCTGTCGTTCCCTGGGCAGCTCTACTTTGGTCGAGGCGTCCGCGACTTCATTTGTGCGTTTGCACGATTGAACCAGTCGGCCCAAGTGAACCACGCCTCCACCAGGACAGAGTGCCAGCACGAGTACTTGCTCGGACAACCCATTGCCGAAGGGTGCATCTGGCTCGTCCCCCCGACCGACGACGCGACGATGACATTTCACGTGTACTTTGCACGGGTCGAACTCCAAGGGCCGGCGTACAACTGGTTCAAGTTTGCCTTTCGGGCGAGCCTGTCCGTGATCATTGTGTACCTTGTCTGGAGCATGTACTTTGTGCATTATCGTCCGTTGATGGCCAACTTGAAGCAATTTGGGGTGGACGACGGCGCTTCGTCGTCGATCGTCACGTTCGAAGTGTTTGTGGGCGACCCCACGTCAGTAGTGCTCAGCCATCCGTTGGTGTCGCTCGTGTTTGTATGGGACGTGTGGCTAAGCCCGGTTTACTTTGGCCTGGCGACGATTCGTGTGAGCCAGACGTACGAATGGTGGGTGTTCTTTCTGGGAGCGCTGTACGGCTCGCGAACGGTATGGCCGCCTCCACCCCACAAATACATCGTCTGAGGAAGAGGATGCGGTCTCCAGATGTGGTTTGCATACTTTACGATGCGATACGCGACGTTTTTAATCAAGCGATGGCGTGTCGAGCACTGGTTTGCAGCCGTGGACCCTGGGCTCGTGGCCCTGGCAAGCGTGGTGTTCTCCGGCCCGATGATGTGGGTCATCGCCAACACGTCCCTCGCCACGTACTTTTACTTTGCGTGGTCGATCTTTGAGTCGATCGACGTGACTACTCACGTGTGCATGTCGATCGAAACGTTTCCAGGTGAGTGGCGCCGTAACCAGTACAGAGCGTTTGACGGGACGTCGTAGGAGCGGTCTCGGCTGTCCTCATGGTGTCGTCGTTCCCATTTGCGTACTCGGTGCTTGTCCGGTGCATGACAAGGACGATTCCCAGCGACCACCGTACGTCCTGCTGTCGCACACTTGCACCACAACACCAGTGCATCCATCGTGTGGTTCTTGCAGGCTCGGCGCTGCGGTACGCGTGCAGCTCGTACAACGATTTAAAGCAGCAACTGTTGATGCAGCTGCACTTGGACCGATCCGTCATGACGCGCGATCTGTCGTCCAACGATGCCGTCGACCAAATCGGCGGGTCCGTCTACGCCTTCATGGACCACCATCCCAAAGCCAAGCGGCTGCCGCTCTTTAGTTTGCGTGGATCCGACTGCTTCATTTTGTGTTTTGACAGCAAAGCCACAATCGTCAAGAAGCTGCGGCTAACGTTGGTGGACTGCTTGGACGTGCGTCCTCCGCCGCGCACATGTTGCCACAAAACAGCTTCGTTGCCCACCAAGAGGACACCTGTGGCTCACCCCACCGGCGACCTTGGTAGCGCCATCGCCACCTGTCCCCTGGACCACCCGCAGCAAACATTTTGCGTGGTTAACCAACACATTTGCCCTGACGTGTACGCCACAGCGCCAACGGTTGTCCATCTCGGCGCGTCACGATGCAAGTGGGTACTTTAGCCCGATCGAACCACTGAACTCGCAACGCGCCGCCCAACCATCCAAAACCATCGACCAAACGTGAGCTGCACAGTAGGCCGGCAAAAGGTTCATCGACTATGATACATGGCAATAGCGACAAGAGGTCAGTCTAGGATGACACCATTGGCACTGCAATGCACATGTCCTGGTTGCGCGCCGACGGGCACATGTCATTTTCGATGACCAAGAACGAGTTCGACAGTGCACTGACTGTCCTACCGCGCGTTAATCTGCCGAGGAATATGTCGAGCGCGTTTTGGGATGGAGTATGTCGACTCCATTTTGGCCACACACCATGCACATCGTCCACAGCCTCGCGCTGTCATGCCGAGGCATGGATACGGAACCACCGGCGACTCTGCCAACCGCCGCGAAAGTGCAGATACGATGGGACCAGTGTCCCGAGAACATTCGGCGTGAACGGAGTCAGAGCTTGTTGTGGACGCCCACGGCGCTCCAACAACGTTGCGGATGCACGCAGTTTGGTGCACCTCGCTGCATCGGTGATGTGTCGAAACTTGTACTTGTCCTATCAAGCCCCGAGCGGCTTCTACGACTGTGAATGCGCTGCCACTCTTGCACGATCTTGGCTGCGTCACACTGGCAGCTCACTCGGCCAACATCGCCCTGGGTGCCGTCGACATATGAGCTCATGATTCCTTGGCCCGTGACACCTGTGTTGGGTTATAGAGGAAGGGCTCGCGTAGTGTTCGCGTTTTCTACCGCCGGCCGAACACGTGAAGCTGTGTATGATGGCCCATCACACTCGATCGATTGTCGACAAACGGGTCAAACTTCGTGCAATCTGTGCGGGAACGACAGCGGCAAAACATCGGGTGGATCTGTTGTCGACCCGTCGTTTGGACTCTTGGCGTGGCTTTCCTTGTTGAGTGCGTGCGGAGCCACTGCGACGTCGTGCGGTTTGAAGTCGTCGATGCCGTCCAAATGACTATGACGGCCGTGTCGGGAGTGCCCCTGCCAGGTCTATGTCAAGCCAACTGGCACAAGATGCTTGAACGATCGCAATCGATGTGCGTTGTGGACCGGGGCACTTTTCGACGGCGCTGCTGGCCGTCGAAGTCGTTGAAACGTCACAATTTTCGTGCATCGGGCCGTCAGTCAAGGGTCAGTGTGGTTGCTTTGAATCGGGGGCGAGCGTCTCGCTGGCCGTGGACAAGATGCCGCCGCCGTACCATCCCAAGCCTCTTGGATACACAAATGAAGACGACGTACAATCGCTTCATCTGTGGAACGAGATCTGCACGACGCGACCAAGGAATGGTCACTCGGTGAATACCAACTCGGGAACCATCGACGGTTTGAGTGGCGTTCGTCATGTTCGGCGGTGCAGCATGCCCGACGAATTCATTCCCCCTGCATGGCTGTAGTAACCAACATGCTGAAGCAACGTGGTCGAGAAGGCGTCGAGAAGGCAAAGCTAAGGTCGAGACAGCAGGTGGCATTAGGACGGAGCTGTGGCATTTGACAAGTGCCTCGGCCGAAAGGCGTTCTCTCTTCAATTAATCCCAAGTCACAAACTACATTCAACACACCAAGCGAACTTGTCTGCTTTGGTTGGGAATCGACACAATGCCATGACCCTGCGAACGTTGTGCAGACTGCGCGAATCCGACCGACCATCGTCCTCCGACAATGCTCTCTACCCTCCTCACGGCTGTCCCAGGTCGGGAAGGCCTTTCCAGTGCGGTTTGCAACAATTTGCCAATGGTGCTCGGATCGGATCATGGGTTTCCCTCGAGTATGTAAAGTGTACTCGTTGACTGCGTCGACAAGATCCATCTCCGTCCATCCGAAATGCACCGTCCACCACACACAGCGGTGTGGACGAATGCGCCGCCTAGCGATTGTTGGCGTGCAAGGATGGTTACCAGCTGTGATAGCAACTCAAGTAAGCTCGTGGTAGAACCGTTGGTGTGGGTGAAAAGTGTACGATCGGCGTGTATAGTCGGCATATTTCCTTGTTCCTGTGAATCTAGGCCGTGGAAAATGTCGGTTTGGCGTCCAAAATGAGAGCACACAGGCGCGGCACTGCGTCGGCGCTTTCTTTCGAAACAAACAATCCCAGGTCGCGTGCTTTGCCTTGGATGTCCTTGTCGTTTCGAAGCACCTTGTGCACGGCACTGCCAACGTACTTGGCCGACACAAATTGCTTCTTGCTGACGGTGCACGGCGCCACGCCCAGCTGCACCAACACACTCGCGTTGTAGAACTGATCGATGCCGACAGGACAGGGCAGCTGCGGAATCCCTAGAACGACCCGACACAGTCAGATCCATGCGAATGTCTGGTGTGGTAGGAACGCCTACCGCTGCGCAAGGCAGCGCCAATCGTGCCAAGCCCGGCGTGATGCACGAGGCAGCTCATCTGCGGAAACAGCCATGTGTGCGAGATCGATCCTGTTTCGATATACACCGTGTCTGCGTGTGCGTCAGCGAGGTCTTTCGAGCTCTCTTGGTCGAGTGACGACCATCCTGCCGCCAGCACTGCGCGGCAGCCGGCAATTTTCGACACGTCGATTGCAAACTGCAGCAATTCGCGGGGCTTCAAAGTTGGCATGCTGCCAAATCCAATGTAAATCACAGGGGTCGAGTTTGCGACGAGAAAGGCCTACGTCGAGACGGACTCGTCAGATCAAAAAATGGATTGCAAGTTGTGCCTTCAAAGGCTCGGGCTCGGGTTGGGCCATGATGGGGAAGACAAAGCCAGCGTACGCGACTTTTCCAGGTGCGTAATCGGTCGGGATTTCGTGCTGTGGGCCCGAGAATAGCAATGAACACGCTTGGAGTTGCACGATGGAGTCGTTGGTGAGGAGGGCGTCGAGGACACCGTACGCTGACGTGACGGGGGCGAGCTTGAGCTGCTGTGTCCGCCACGCATTGATGTGGTCCCGCTTGCCGCCCCACAACTTGGACCAGATGAAATAATGCGTCCACTTGTTGACAGCTCCAAACCACGACCCGACAAACGCTTGCATCATGCCATGGGGGTATGCGGTGGTGGGGAGGTTGAATCCGCCAAAGAAGAGCGGCACCCACGTCGCGTTCAAGGACTCTGCGACCGCGTACGACTCGTCAGCACAGAGCGGTCCGGACACGATGATGTCGGCGCCTTGCAGCGCCGGCACGTACGACGCCAACACGGCTGCTTTGTCCGATCGACTGCTCCACTCCTCCATCAACCCGATGAGTTGCACCACGTTTGCCTTGCGAAATCGATCGTGAAAGTCGTCGTGGAAGAGAAGACCGCAAAAGTCGCCTTCAAGCGGTCGAAACGCGAGCCCAAACTCGTGCGTGATGAGCGATTCGAGCCGTCGATCCGACGCGACGCTGACAGTGTGGCCTTGGGCGGCAAGGGCCTGGCCCACAATGCACAGGGGCTGGACGTCGCCTCGCGTCCCGACCGACACAAATACGATGTTCTTGGACGCCATCGCCTCCGCCACTTTGTCCAGCGATGCGAACAACGAAAGTGGCCGATATCGCACGGTTCAACTTGAATTTATTTTTTGCACGCAAACACGACGAAATTTTTACTCAACGTGACGACGACTTTTCCGTTTCTAATGGTCACACGGTGATGAAACTTCATTTTCTTTCAACATCTCTTCGTGAGACTCGGAACAATTCGTGGTTCGAAATTCGAATGCAGCTCCCTCGTGAGAGTCGAGCCCCGTTGTTCGCCTCCCGTGCTCTGTCACTCCCACCGCGATCACGTTGTCTTGCACGTGTTCCTCCACTGAATATACACACTTGACTGCGCTGCGGCGACATCCTTGAGACTGCACATGGTCCCCTTTCAAAACGGGGATAATTTTCTATTCGACCGTGTAGATTTGGCCTTGGTTCGAACCACCCCATCGGCGCATTTCCATGTAGTAAGGGCAAGCCATTCCATTCATCCTGCCGGCTTGGGATACGTGCCTTTCAGTGGTTAGCGGCAGCTCGCCGCCACCGCTGATGCAACGTAATTCGAGCTGGACAAGGATCCCAGTCGTGGGAGAGTTGGCGTCTTGGTTTCGACGCTCGTAAGCTAATTCTGGGAAAGGCAATATTTTCAGCATTTCAGCACGACCTGGAAGAACGTGCTCGAATCAAATTCACTGCTGAATAATCCGCAAAAAAGATCAGCCAATCAATTTTTTCTAAGTTAGCTACGTATTAATTCAAATATACATTAGCACCCATGAAGGCATAGCCGATCATCACTTGGGCGGGGGCTTTGGTTCCTTCGTCATGGTGGCGCGAATCGTGTTGTAGCTCGCTCCACAGAATCCTGTTGCCGTCATGAAGGGAATGAATCCGACCTGCTTGTGAGTGGATATGAACCGTACTCCATGGGGGCGTGGTAAGTTGCCGTGACTGGTAGCACTACTGCGCCACGACTCTCCGATCTCAACGCAGCGGTCACAGGGGACGCCGCCCGATCGCACGAGCTATAAGAAAATCCCGGGAACTGAACGTCTGGGTCCAGGCTTCACTTTAAACAGGGCAAGGCAGCGCGATGTGGGTGACGTCCAATGTGAAGACACAAAATTACTTTGGATGCTGCTATCTAAAAAGCACGCGCCCTTTCCCGCAGTAGGTAACACGCCGTTGCCATCCCCCGTTGTCATTCGAGGAGGTTGTGTTGTGCGGTCGCCCCAGCGTTCAGTCCTATAGTGCTGTTCGTGCCTGTGGTCTTCACCCCATGCCTCCCCCCTTCGGCAAACCTCTCGCGAGAGCTCTCTGCACGACGCAAGACGATGCCTCAACGAATGTGAAGCTGATTAACCGAGTGTCGTTTTTCGAGTATGTCGATCATACATCTATGTGCTGGTCCCAACGGCTCGCGGACAACTCGCCTCCATTTCCTTCTGTGGTGTCACACCACGGTGGGCAGAAAAAGTCGAAACGAATGTTTGGCAGCACGGTCGAAACACGCAAAAGAACGTTAGCGGATGCGGCTGTACGTCATCGATCGGCGGCGAGACGTGGTGGTTGCAAATACCATGACGATGACACCAAGAGCAACGACGATTGCGTACGGAGCAAAGGCCGTGACCATGGGGCCATGGGCCTTGGCGTTCAAGACAGACGGGTGGTCGCCATCTCGCACTACCAGCATACCGTCGTCAACGCATGCTTTCGACAGTTGTGAAGAATCCACGCACCTGGTTGCTCCAACGACGTGACGTCGCCCGTGTCGGGAATCGGATGCTTGACTGCCTTGGCCTTGTTGTACGGGCGGATGCCCCAAATCGATCCGCCGTACGCCGGGCTCTCGTCCCACACTAGATCTTCTTCGCCAATCTCGGGATCGACAAAGGTGCAGTCGGCTTCGATGCCAAGGTTGTTGATGCCTCGAACAATGCGAAAGAAGCCGTTCTCGCCCCAGTACCTAGACACACGACATGACCCGCCGTCCATCGGGAACACGCGCGACTACATACGAGCCCCACGAGTTGCGGACACGCCAGAACTTGACCCCGTTTTCTTCGCCCCACCCGACAATCTCGACGTCATGGTCGATGTCCATAAAGTCGGTCGTGTCGTGGAAAATCCCCGCCGTGTAATTGTACGAAAAGCCATCGCTGCACGCGACGCCGCACGTGATCGGTCCACGCAGAAGCTCCTGGAGCATCGCGTGCTCGCCGCGAAGGGTTCCAAACGACTTGGCGCGGTACCGAATCATCTTGGTCACGGGAAAGCATGTCGCGTTGAGCGGCAGCTCCGGTGTGTACATGCAACTAAACAAAAGGCGTTGTCAGACCATCATCGTCGCAAAGGACTTTGGCCAAGTCCGATCGAGTAGCTCTCGACATTGTGAACACATCGCAAGGGCAAGATGACGGACGTACTTCATGCAATAGCCTTCCGGCGGACACGTTCCGTTCGTCCCGTTGTACTTTGTGTAGTCCGTTGCATTGTAGGGCAAGCACGTTTCATCCGGGAGCCCGTAGTCTTGCATAAATCGCCACACGTCGATGGCCTCGCCGCCGTCGCACCCCGCCGAGTAGTTGTGGCCGGGCGCGCAGTTGAGAAAGCTCTGACGGCCGAGCGTCACGTCAGCGCCGGTGAATCCCTTTTGTTTGTGCAGAATCTTGATGCGGTCCTGGGCCGCCGAAAGCGCACCGTGGAGATAGCAGCTCCCGCAGTATTGTGGAATGTGCTGGTTCCACGACGGCCCGCAGAACCCTTGCTCGCACCAGTCAAACGATTTCGGAAACACGGTGTCGATTTCATGGCGTTGGTGGGCCGTCGGCGGCGGGACAGGGTCGCGAGCCGGGTGCAAGTGCTCGCGGCCGTTCATCGTGCGCGTGCAGCACGTTGGGCCACCCTTGTGCGCGGGATACGCCGCGGCTCCATCTATCCAAAGTGCTGCAACGACGCCGACCAGTTCTAGCTTCATCGTGTGTTGAAATCCGAAATGATGTCGATAGGCCATGGATGCGCGATCTTGTGCTTGTATCGAGGGGCAAACGGTGTCGATCTCCTGACAAGTTTTATACTACAACGTGTTTAGCGCTTGGGTCGCCAAAACAAACGTTTGAGATCGCGGCGGGGGCGAGCATGTCACAATCGATATCGGCACACATGAACGGCAAAGCGCTTTAATGCCCCCCCCTACACAAACTCTGATGGCGGAACTACGTCCACTTGCGACGTTGTCGTGTCCTGTTGAGCGCACGTCGATCCACGCCCTTTCGCTGACGCTAATGCAAGGATGGTCACACGTCCATCAACCAAAAAAGGTCGTGCGTGTATCAAATGGCTGGAATGCGACGAATGTATCGATCGCACACGCTGTCGCCGCTGCTACAGTCTCTGCGCCCCACCCAGACCCAAACACGTCAAGGCCAACAGCCACCCGCACTATATGTCGCCTCTCGACTTCGATATTGATCCCACTAAAACGCCTTGTTCAACCCCGTTAAAGTCAACGGAGAGTCCGGTTATTATCCGGACACGTCGCTTGGTTGGTTGGCTGACCAGGCATCCGGTTAGGTTTTGGCCATGGCCACCAAACTTGATCTGGCGAAAAATGGACGCGTTTTTTGCGAGGGCGAATGCGGCGGCCGGTCCGTCCTTCTGCAAGCATTGCGGATCCATCTTGGACTTGCCAGAAACCAACTCAATCGTGTGCTCGTCGTGCGGCTTCACGTGCCGGTATACAGGTATAGTCGCAAGAGGGGCCGGTTGTGGGCTCACCGTGCGTGCCAGACTTGCCGTCGCTGACCACGATCACGTACAGCCAAGACCGACCGGAACCCAAGTGGGTCAAGGAAAATGTCCAGTCCCAAGAAGTCACGGGTCCATCGCGCGCCACGGTACGATGGGGGGATGAAAGTTTTTTCATGGGTGTTCATCACGACCGTGCGCTGTGGTAGGTGGAGGAAACGTGTCCAAAGTGTGGCCATCCTGAAATGGAATTCTACACGCTGCAGCTCCGATCGGCAGACGAAGGGCAAACGGTCTTTTACGAGTGCAAGAAGTGCGGCCACAGATACTCCGTCAACACATAACGCAGCACCGGTCGCAACCAACATCCAACCCTCGAATGCAAACGATTTTGCCATTTTTCCCATCGCACTTGTGCAGTTCAGACTTCCCTGCACGGCGGGATCGCGTTGAAGTAGCTGGAACAGCCCATTGTACGATTCCACGTGAAAAGTGGACTGCCCACGCGCTCCGACATGTGGTCGACAGCGCTACTTCCGCTTGCCACAGGTTGTTGGCGGTGACGCTGCTGGAGAGACTCAAAGACATGGCCTCGATTTGGACATACTCGTGTGATGCACTGGAATGGAACTGGAGCGTTGGGTATCCGAGTTGGACATAGATAGCGTTTGATGGAGCCCGTTCTGGGGTGTCTCTGCATGACTCGATTGCACCCGGATGCCAAAACGATGCGGCATCCGCCCAGCGGTCTCACACACGATTTCCTCCGTGAATGACTCGAAGGCGCTCGACCGAACCAGTCCTCACACTTGCGACAATGCGGACGGGGCTACCGGCAGCTAGACATGTTCTCGAACGTCGTTTAGGGTGTGGATTTTAAAAACGTCGGTTTTGTTTCGACGATGCGTTCGCACAGCCGTGGCAGCGCATCGTGGCTCTCTTTGGCCACAAACTCGCCCATGGCCCGCGCCGTCATTTGAATGCTGTTGTCGTCCCGAAGTACCCGTTGGACAACGGTCGCGACGTACTTGGCGGTTAACTTGGTCTTGGAAATCGAGCACGGAGCAACCCCCAAGTCCACGAGCACCTGTGCGTGGTGGAACTGGTCCATAAATTTGGGGCACGGAATTTGAGGGACCCCTACGATATCGCACGAGTGCGTGTTAGGTCGACTGCAAGGGGGCCACTGTCAGAATGCACTGGATGACGCACCGCTTCGCAACCCTGCGGCACACGTCCCGAGCCCTGCGTGGTGCAGGAGGCAACGCATTTGCGGAAACAACCACGTGTGCGAAATCGAACCGCTTTCCACGTACACGACGTCCGCATGCGCTTCCGCCAGCACTTTGCACTCGTCCAGCAATGACCACCCCGCAGCCAGCACGCATCGGGTGCTTGTCAGTTTGCACACGTCGATGGCAAAGTGCAGCAAGGCCAACGGCTGCAGCGCTGGCATGCTGCCAAATCCAATGTAGATGACGGGCGTGTCGCTCTGGCGCAAGAACACCTAATGACGTACGACCATGCCGGTTTGGCGATCCGCTCGTCAGCGGCGGTGTCTACGTACTCTTAACGGCTCCGGTTCGGGTTGCGGCGTTGACGGGTACAAAAAGCCCGTGTACACAACTTTTCCTGCTGCAAAATCGAGTGGCACACGCCGCTTCGGGCCTGCAAACAGCACCGAGCACGCTTGGTACATGACGATGCTGTCGTTTGTCAACACAGTGTCCCGTAGCCCGAACGAGCTCGTGATGGGCGGCAGGTGCAGCGTGTGCTGTCGCCATTCGTTGATGGTCACGCGCTGCTGTTGCCACACTTGGTTCCACACGACGGAATGTGTCCACTTGTTGATCGAGCCGAACCAGCTTCCCGTAAAGTCTTGCAGCATCCACTGGGGAAACTCGGACGTTGGGAGGTGGATGTGGCCCAGGAAAAGCGGGATCCACGTCGCGCCGATGGCTTCCGCAACCGAATACGACTCGGCCGTGCTGATCGGCCCGCCGATCACGATGTCGGCGCCGTGCAACGCCGCCACGTACGACGCGTAAATGTCTCGCTTGTCAAACCTTTCGTTCCACTGGTGCATCAAGTGGTAGAACCCGAGCACTTTGGCAGTGCGAAGCTTGGCTTGGTACCCCTCGTCGAAGAAACACCCCATCATGTCCCCTACGATCGGGCGATACGGCAACTTGAACTCGGTCGTGACGAGAGCCTCGAGGCGCTTCTCGCATGCAACCGTCACGTTATGGCCCAACGCGGCGAGCGCAGCCCCGACGACACAGTATGGCTGGACGTCGCCGCGGGTCCCCACCGACACGATCACAATGTTCTTGGGCGTGTCGTGCAGCCCCATGCCAGTCTACCAGCCCACTCGTTTTCAACTGAACGACAGCCAGCAGGGACCATGCGGCAAACGACCAGCACGGTGTAGACCACCTGATCTGATTTGGTCAGAGAAAGGTCGTGAGTGGACGGCATCGCCAGTCTCAGATACGCAGGTTTATAGATACAGCACAGATCGGGTTGCTCGAACAACTGTACAGCAGCGGCAACGTCGTCGTCCGGTGAGTGTCAGCGTCGACGGGCGCCAGCTTCGTCCGTGGTGCTCGGTCTGTTATGTTTCACACTCTTTAGTCGCGATGGCCATGACCGAGAGCTAGCGCGAAGCTTGAGAAGTGTGCACGGGTGGACTACATGTTTGGATTTAGGTGCGGACCACTGCACCCCCCGACGCACGTCACCACGAACCGAACGGCATGCTTCATGTCTTGTCAACGAGTTGGTGGTGGCTGTGCAGCCGTAGTGCAGTGGTTCGGCAAAGGTTGAGAAGTTTACCGCTGCACAATTCGGCAGCGGGCGTTGTACTGCGGTGAAAGGCGTCCGCGCTGAGCGTGAAATGGTTGCAGCGTGCAAGCACAACGTCCGTGGCAACGACGCGGACTTTGCACCGTAACCAGCGAAAAGAAGTCTGTGCGGGTGCTGTTGCATGGACGGGAATCTGTACTTCCAAACCAGCGACCGACACCGCTTCGAGGAATGGACTTTGGGGCATGTGCCGTACCGTTGTCAGCACGAATGAAAGGCTCGGCGTGACCTTGGCTGTGCTCGCGATGAAATGTGTCACCCGCGAACGTGCGTCCGCTTCCAACAGTCTCATACAGACCAACGAACAAACGTCCTGAAGCATGCATGCCCACACCCACCGGCCAACCCTCGATCACTCGTTGTAGTCACGG